ATCGGGCTCCGTCGTGGGCTATCTCAACCGCCCTTGAGGCGTCACAACGTCTCAAAACCCGACCCCCGCTCTCCCACCCCTTGCCCCTCCCTCCCTGTGCTCCGTGTCAGTCCCTGGCAGCAGTGATCACATCGGGCTCCGTCGTGGGCTATCTCAATGGCTCTTGAGGCGTTTCAACTGCTCAAAACTTGCCCCACGCCCTCCGCCCCTCGCCCCTCCCTTCGCCCTGTATCAGTCCCTGGCAGCAGTGATCACATCGGGCTCCGTCGTGGGCTATCTCAATGGCTCTTGAGGCGTTTCAACTGCTCAAAAATCCCCCCCCCCCCCCCTCCGCCCCTCGCCCCTCCCTTCGCCCTGTGTCAGTCCCTGGCAGCAGTGATCACATCGGGCTCCGTGGTGGGCTATCTCAACGGATCCTTCTCCGAGCAGCACCTGCTGGGCTTTGGCGTCCGCAGGGTAAGTCCCTTCCTGCCCAGGGTGCTTCTCAATGCAGTGACGCTTGAGTCGACTCACAAGTCACCTCCTTCTAGGTCGCCTCTAAAGGCTTATTAGATCCTTCTCCGAGCAGCACCTGCTGGGCTTTGGTGTTCGGAAAGTGAGTCCCCAGCCTGAACGGGCTGTGAGTGATGGGATCTGATCGGTGGGCTGTGAACGGTGGGCTGTGAACGGTGAGCTGTGAACAGTGTCTGTGCCTCACGCCACTCACTCACTCCTTCCTCCTCCTTGACTCTCTCTATCCGCAACAGAAGCAGCTTCAGCCACTCAACAGCGTGGATGAGTACACAGCAGCCATACTGGCTGAACGGCACTGTGATGGGGATGATGGGCTTTGAATGATGGGGATGTGAACAGTGGGCTGCGAATGGTGTGCGTGATTCATGTTACTCACTCACACTCCCTCCTTGTTTCTATCCCCAACAGAAGCTGCTCCAGCCACTCAACAGCTTGGACGAGTCCCCGGAAGTCATGCTGATGAACGGCACCGTGGTGGTGGGCATGGTGGACTGTGAACAGTGTGTGTGCCTCATGCCACTCACACTCCTTCCGCCCCTGTCCTCTGCTTCCCTCCAACAGAAGCAGCTCCAGCCACTCAACAGCGTGGACGAGTACGCGGAAGCCATGCTGATGAACGGCACCGTGGTGGGGGTGGTGGTGGGCTGTGAGCACTGCACACCCCATGCTGCTCACACTTGTGCACCTCATGCTGCTCACACTCGCTCACACTTGTTCCTCCTTTCCTTTGACTTTAACAGAAGCAGCTGCAGCCACTCAACAGTGTGGACGAGTACGCAGAGGCCATGCTCAACGGCACCGTGGTGGGCGTGGTGGACGAGCGTCCCTTCCTGGATCTCATTCTCTCCCAAGACTGCACATTCACCACGGGGGATGCCGATATTTCCACCCTCGGATGGGCCTTTGTGAGTGCCATACCCACCCGTGCGTTGTTGCGGTCTTTGAGTGGTCTTTGAACAGTCTGGGGTCTGGTTAAAAGAAGGGCGTGGTGGACGAGCGACCCTTCCTGGTTCCATTCTATCTGTCACAGAATATAATGGTAAGAGCATCCTATTCAGTACATGTGCTAATTGGGGTGTAGAAGGGTGTAGCAATTGTTATTTAATTGCTCGCTGGGGTAGTTGGGTTATTGGGAGAAGCGAGAAGTTGGTAGTATTGGGTGTTACAGGGCGCTTTGGGGACAATTTCAGGGACCTTGGGAGACAGGGAATCTGGCAAAAGGCCGATCCAAGGCCCAGGCGGCTCGAGGTCAACCGATCAAGCTGAGAATCTCGCGACTGGGTAGACAAGCTTAAGAAGCCTAGCCGAGCATAGCAGTCCCGTTCTCTCGTCTTGTTTACCATTGCATAGTGGATTTACGTTGCTGACTCAAGCTACAAGCAGCTAGGTGACTAGGCCACTCTTGGTAGCCAGCCTGTGGGAGCTGGATCTCTCAGAAGACGAGAAAAAAGCGGCATGATGGATCGCCATGAGCTGCGCATGCAGCGGACGTACTTGCGGCGGGAGCGCTCGCCGTCGCGAAGGAGGCGCTCAACGGAGCGTGGGAGGTCGCCGACGCACTCGCCCCGCATCCTTTGAGTGGTCTTTGAGCAGTCTGGGTGTGGTGGACGAGTGTCCCTTCCTGGACCTCATTCTATCACAGGAATGCACATTCACCACGGGGGAAGCAGACATGTCCACCCTCGGATGGGCCTTCCTGAGTGCAGCAGTCAGTGGGTTTTGCTGCTGCTGTATGGTCTTAGGCAAGAGGACCATGTTAAGTTCCAAATCGCACCACCAGGAATGCTCGTTTACCACGAGGGAAGCTGACACGTTCACTCTTCTTGAACCCCTCCAACTTTCATCCCCCTCCACCCCTCTTCATCCCTCTTCACCCCTCTTGAACCAACCCGGCACTCCTCTCATTCACCAGGCCTTCCAGAAGGGATCAAATCTGGCCGTTGATCTGAGCAAGGCCATTGCCCAGCTGAGCGAAACAGGCCAGCTGCGAACCATCCACAGCAACTACGTGCCTGTGAGTGTCCATCGGCCTGTAAGTATCGATGTGCTGCAAGTGTCCTCGCGCTGTAAGCAAGGGTGTGCCTGTAACGGGTGATGTGCCTGTAACGGGTGATGTGCCTGTTACGGGCGATGTGCCTGTTACGGGTGATGTGCCTGTAAGGGTTTCAGGGCAGGGCATGTCATTCTTTCTGCTTCCATTCCATGCAGAGTCAAATCTGAGCTCTCTCCTTTCTTGCCTCCACCCTCTAAACCAAACCCCACCACAGAACAACCTGACGTGCAGTGGGGACGCAAGCGGGCAATCGTCGGATAGCCTGGGAGTGGAGGGGTTTCAGAACCTGTTTATTCTCTATGCTGTCATGGTCACCTTCGCGTGCCTCATGTACCTGGGCGTGCTGCTCTACCGCGGCCACCTCGCCAAGAAGTACGTTGTCTCGCTGCTTTCCTAGAGGTAGGTATGCTGCGCTGCTGCACTGCAGTGCGGTCATGGGTGGGATAGCCTGGGAGCGGAGGGGTTTCAGAATCTGTTCATCCTGTATGCTGTCATGGCCACCTTCGCCTGCCTCATGTACCTGGGCGTGCTGCTCTACCGCGGCCACCTCGCCAAGAAGTACGTTGTCGTGCCCTTTCTATTCAAACCTCTGAGAGGCGTGCTGTGTGCTTCAAAAAGCACACTCCAAGCCAAGTAGTATGTCTCCCTGCTTTTCTTCACACCTGCCTGGGAGGTATAGCGCTTGTCTTAAGGAGCACAGCACCAAGCCACCTTCCCCTGCCTCATGTACCTCGGTGTGCTGCTCTACCGCGGCCACCTCGCCAAGAAGTAGGTTGCCATGCTGCTTGTCTTCACTCCTACCTGGGAGGTATGGCTTGTGTCTTGAGGGAGCACCACAGCAAGCCACCTTCCCCTGCCTAATGTACCTCGGTGTGCTGCTCTACCTACTGCGGCCACCTCGCCAATAAATAAAACTTTCCTGCTTTTGTTCTCATGCCTGGCCTAGTGATGTGTTATGTGTTCCAAAAAAGCACCATAGACAGGACAGCCACCTTCCCCTGTCTCGTGTACGCTGTCCAAAAGAAGACCTTTTTTGTTTCCTCGGCCTGGATTGGAGTCTCTTGTGCGTGTCGCTCGTGTGATGAGTCTATTTTTTAGTCGACTTAAAAATAGACTCCTCAGCCTGGAGTCTCTCATGCACATCACCCGGCCCATTCTCAATATCCATCTATCTGGTCTCTGCGATTGTCTCTTCGCGGCTTCGCCTGCTGTCTCTACACCGTGAGGATCACTTTGAAGAATTCTCATAAGTGGCACCTTGAGGACCAGCCCAGTCTTGTCTTTCAGCTTTGGTGTTTCGTTTTCTCTCTGCTTTCCTTTGTCTCGATTCCCCGGGGTTCCTGGTTCTGCCTGGTGGTGCACACAGGGAGTTGGAGGAGGAGGGAGATGAAGTGAGTGGGGGCATGTCTGCAATCAAGGCAAAGCCATGGATGAACCCTTTCAAGCATGTCATCTACCTCTATAACCTCGTGAGTCCATGCCCTCCTGCAGTCCTGCATGCAACCCTGCATGTGATCATGCATGTCGTCTTGCATGTGCTCATGGATATTGTCTTGCTCGGAATCATGCGTGTGCCAACCAACTGCTGCCTACCGGGATCGCACCTTGTGGGATTTACTCCTTCCCATAATGCATTTGGTTGGTGCTTATTTGTGTTGATTTCATTTTTTTTTTTTTTTTTTTTGGCTTAATTTTCAGGGTGTGGCATGGAGCATTGCTCGCAATATTGAGTGTGACGACGAGCCATTCTACGAAGCGGACTCGCAGTTTGATACGTACGATGGTACATCCTTCAACCAATCAGAGTTCACAAATGGGACTGACGAAGGCCCAAAGCGCGATCTTGACCGTTGACTGAAGCATGCATCCGAACGGTCTGCCGTCGCAGGCACTGGTACACCCCGTATGCTGTTCTTGCTTATTTATTGTTTGTGTTGTTTAGAGCATGGTACATCGATCTGCTCAATGGCAGAGATGTTTATTTCATGAAGGCTCTACATGGTCTCTTCTCTTCAGCAGTGGTAAGCTATTGTACAGTTGAGTGTATCAACAGGCCTATGAGCCAAGGATTTGGTGTTTTAAATTAGGGTTCTTTCTTCAATGGAGGCTCTACATGGTCTCTTTATGCTACGGATGTACCATGCTCTCATAAATATGTTGATTTGATTCCTAGAACAACTCGCTCTGTACGCTGTAGCCCTAAATTCTCGTGTATCGTACTTTTTATGTCATACAAAATTCTTCCTGTCTGCCTCCTTCCTTACCCAATCCAACCTTCAGAAAAACACCTTTGCCCAAGTGACTCAAGTCTGACCTTCTCGGAACTTCATTCGTGCAGCCCTAGCTTCACGCGTCCTTGAAACTGCCGACAATCCAGCTGACTGAAATTATCACAGGCCGTACTCGCGTAATCCTACTGCGCCTTTCGCACGACATGGCTGCCGATGGTGGTCGGAAAGAGAAAGATAAGAGCAAGGGTATTAAAGTCAGCAAGAAAACCGCAGCTGTGAAACCCAAGTCGAAGGATCGCGAAGGTCAGCAGAGCAAACCGAGCGACGACGATTCTCGTCCACGTGGCAAGCAGAGCGAAGGGGGATCGCGTCCACGTGGCAATCGGAATGAAGAGGGTTCGCTTCCACGTGGCGGCAGTCGAGATGCTGCTGCCGGAGAGATTTTGCCGGCGAGATTGCTGCCGTCACAGATCAAGAACAAGCAGAAGCGGTCGGCAGTGACGGCGAAGCTTCGCGCGGAGAAGGAGAAGGGGAAGAAGCAGCGGCTGAAGCGGCGGCGGCAAGAGGAGGAACGCGCAGTGGCGCTGGGGGAAGCGGTAGGTCCGAGGGAACGGTGGTTGGGATTGAAGCAGCAGATCGGGGGAAGTTCTGAGACAGGCGTGCGAGAAAGGCAGGAGGCAGAGGTTTCTCACATTGCGGCTGTAGACTGACTGTTTAGTTATCGCCTCGGTTTCTCGCCAATTGTTGGGATTCGGGTTTCGGGTCTCGCCAATCTGGGTTTACCATTCAGGACAGCGTCCAGTTTATTAATGCGCAAGTCCTTCGTTCCCTCATTCGCATCCGTTTAAAGCCCCATTTTCTCGTCGTCGTTTTGAACCCTGCTTAAATCTTAAACCCTGCAGGCCCCGCCACGGAAGGTAGCTCGCACCATCGACAGCACGCGGGAGGTGGACGAGACTATAGCGCAGCCTGACGACGACGAGGTGACTATAACGAGGATGAGGTGTTTTTTTAGTCAACTTGAAATACTAATAACGGGGAAAGAGTTGACTTCGAAAGGGACGGGTTATTGATTTGTGTGTGAAGGGGTGGCCGTTTGTTGTGTTCAATGGATCATCGGTGTGAATCGTTATGATATTGGAACCGATGTCTCAAATCACTTCTTTCTCATTCCTTGCAACCTCCAAATCTGTCATCCTCTCTCCTCCCCACCCCCCCACCCCCCCGCCCCACCCCCCCCCCTTCCTCCCCAATGGTGACACTACAGCTGCATGTAGACGAGGAGCAGAACGAGTTCCCTCCACACGTGATTTTAAGGGGCCAGGCCTCGTGTGCAGAACCTCCCCCCTCCTTACCTTACCCCTTTTCCTCCCCCCTCTCCCACCACTACCCCCCATGACAACACCACAGTTGCATGCAGACGAGGCACAGGACGAGTTCGCCCCGCACTTCAACCGAGAGAGGCCGCCCAAAGTGCTCATCACCACGTGCCAACGGATACACCAGGTATGGCTGCTTCCTGTTGCAATAGTTTTTTGTTTGTTAAACGTGTGTGTGTGTGCGTGTGTGTGTGTGTGTGTGTGTGTGTTTGGTTTTTTTTTTTCCTGGAGAGGCTGATGCCATTGAATGGGTGCTGCCGCAGCAGTGTCATTTGTTAGACTGCCCGTCCTTCACTTCACCAGTTTGTTTTCCTGTGTGCTTGTCTTACCCTGTTTCTGTCAATTTGTCCCCGTTGCAATCCTTGATCGCAGTCGATGAAACAGCTTATAAAGGAGCTTTTAGTGGTCATTCCGGGATCAGAGTACTATGAGAGACGGCAGTATCGCATCAAGGAGGTGCCTGCACTGTTGCTCTCTCCTCAGCACGATTCTCTTTCCCATCACTTCTCCATCTCCATCTCTTAACTCCAGCACGCTTCACTTTTGTATCTCCATCTCTTAACTTCGTTTTAACCACCTGACTTGCATGCCCTTATCCCCCCTATCCCTCTTGCCTGCGACTGCATTAGAACGGGATTACAAAGCTACAGCACAACTAACAACAGATATCCCTTCCCTCCCCTCCTCGTGCCTCCTAGTCCAGATAGTGCAGTACGCATCAGCGAGGGATTACACGGCAATGATCGTGATCAATGAGAATCGAAGCAAGCCAAGTGGGTATCCGTTTCACACGCTTTGGCAGAGGCTTTGGCTCCCGGTATCGTCTCTGTGTTTCTGTGCGCTGTTCCAGAGCCAGTAGGTGTCATTCATGCATTCGCCCTAACCTGACACACGTGTAGTTTCCGCTATGGAAGGGAGTGCGATGGCTGTCAGTCCTGTCCATCCCTCCTATCATCTCGAATTTATCTCCGGTTTTATCTCTGGTTATGTCTCTGGCTTTGGCTCTTGTACGTAATACGAGATTCGCCCTATTCCTGACCTGCATCCCCTCCTCCCACACCCCTCCCTGCTCACCCTTCCCTAGACGCACTTATGCTTATCGGTCTCCCAGAAGGCCCCACTGCTCTTTTCAAGCTCTCCAGTCTCGTCTTGAGGAAAGACATCAAGGTAAGAGTCAATCAGTGTCACTGTCCCATGTTGTGAGTGAATGCTTGCAATATTGGACTTCAGTGCTAAAACAAACTACAATTGGGGTTTTGTAGGCTCTTCATTCTTGGTGAGAGTCACTAAGCTGAGAGTCAAGGGCTTGAGACACGAGGGTGAGAGTCACTAAGCTGAGAGTCAAGGGATTGAGACACGAGGGTGAGAGTCACTAAGCTGAGAGTCAAGGGATTGAGACACTGAGGGTGAGAGTCACTAAGCTGAGAGTCAAGGGCTTGAGACACGAGGGTGAGAGTCACTAAGCTGAGAGTCAAGGGCTTGAGACACGAGGGTGAGAGTCACTAAGCTGAGAGTCAAGGGCTTGAGACACGAGGGTGAGAGTCACTAAGCTGAGAGTCAAGGGCTTGAGACACGAGGGTGAGAGTCACTAAGCTGAGAGTCAAGGGCTTGAGACACGAGGGTGAGAGTCACTAAGCTGAGAGTCAAGGGCTTGAGACACGAGGGTGAGAGTCACTAAGCTGAGAGTCAAGGGCTTGAGACACGAGGGTGAGAGTCACTAAGCTGAGAGTCAAGGGCTTGAGACACGAGGGTGAGAGTCACTAAGCTGAGAGTCAAGGGCTTGAGACACGAGGGTGAGAGTCACTAAGCTGAGAGTCGAGGGCTTGAGACACGAGGGTGAGAGTCACTAAGCTGAGAGTCAAGGGCTTGAGACACGAGGGTGAGAGTCACTAAGCTGAGAGTCAAGGGATTGAGACACGAGGGTGAGAGTCACTAAGCTGAGAGTCAAGGGATTGAGACACGAGGGTGAGAGTCACTAAGCTGAGAGTCAAGGGCTTGAGACACGAGGGTGAGAGTCACTAAGCTGAGAGTCAAGGGCTTGAGACACGAGGGTGAGAGTCACTAAGCTGAGAGTCAAGGGCTTGAGACACGAGGGTGAGAGTCACTAAGCTGAGAGTCAAGGGCTTGAGACACGAGGGTGAGAGTCACTAAGCTGAGAGTCAAGGGCTTGAGACACGAGGGTGAGAGTCACTAAGCTGAGAGTCAAGGGATTGAGACACGAGGGTGAGAGTCACTAAGCTGAGAGTCAAGGGATTGAGACACGAGGGTGAGAGTCACTAAGCTGAGAGTCAAGGGCTTGAGACACGAGGGTGAGAGTCACTAAGCTGAGAGTCAAGGGCTTGAGACACGAGGGTGAGAGTCACTAAGCTGAGAGTCAAGGGCTTGAGACACGAGGGTGAGAGTCACTAAGCTGAGAGTCAAGGGCTTGAGACACGAGGGTGAGAGTCACTAAGCTGAGAGTCAAGGGCTTGAGACACGAGGGTGAGAGTCACTAAGCTGAGAGTCAAGGGCTTGAGACACGAGGGTGAGAGTCACTAAGCTGAGAGTCAAGGGCTTGAGACACGAGGGTGAGAGTCACTAAGCTGAGAGTCAAGGGCTTGAGACACGAGGGTGAGAGTCACTAAGCTGAGAGTCGAGGGCTTGAGACACGAGGGTGAGAGTCACTAAGCTGAGAGTCAAGGGCTTGAGACACGAGGGTGAGAGTCACTAAGCTGAGAGTCAAGGGATTGAGACACGAGGGTGAGAGTCACTAAGCTGAGAGTCAAGGGATTGAGACACGAGGGTGAGAGTCACTAAGCTGAGAGTCAAGGGCTTGAGACACGAGGGTGAGAGTCACTAAGCTGAGAGTCAAGGGCTTGAGACACGAGGGTGAGAGTCACTAAGCTGAGAGTCAAGGGCTTGAGACACGAGGGTGAGAGTCACTAAGCTGAGAGTCAAGGGCTTGAGACACGAGGGTGAGAGTCACTAAGCTGAGAGTCAAGGGCTTGAGACACGAGGGTGAGAGTCACTAAGCTGAGAGTCAAGGGCTTGAGACACGAGGGTGAGAGTCACTAAGCTGAGAGTCAAGGGCTTGAGACACGAGGGTGAGAGTCACTAAGCTGAGAGTCAAGGGCTTGAGACACGAGGGTGAGAGTCACTAAGCTGAGAGTCAAGGGCTTGAGACACGAGGGTGAGAGTCACTAAGCTGAGAGTCAAGGGCTTGAGACACGAGGGTGAGAGTCACTAAGCTGAGAGTCAAGGGCTTGAGACACGAGGGTGAGAGTCACTAAGCTGAGAGTCAAGGGCTTGAGACACGAGGGTGAGAGTCACTAAGCTGAGAGTCAAGGGATTGAGACACGAGGGTGAGAGTCACTAAGCTGAGAGTCAAGGGATTGAGACACGAGGGTGAGAGTCACTAAGCTGAGAGTCAAGGGCTTGAGACACGAGGGTGAGAGTCACTAAGCTGAGAGTCAAGGGCTTGAGACACGAGGGTGAGAGTCACTAAGCTGAGAGTCAAGGGCTTGAGACACGAGGGTGAGAGTCACTAAGCTGAGAGTCAAGGGATTGAGACACGAGGGTGAGAGTCACTAAGCTGAGAGTCAAGGGCTTGAGACACGAGGGTGAGAGTCACTAAGCTGAGAGTCAAGGGCTTGAGACACGAGGGTGAGAGTCACTAAGCTGAGAGTCAAGGGCTTGAGACACGAGGGTGAGAGTCACTAAGCTGAGAGTCAAGGGCTTGAGACACGAGGGTGAGAGTCACTAAGCTGAGAGTCAAGGGCTTGAGACACGAGGGTGAGAGTCACTAAGCTGAGAGTCAAGGGCTTGAGACACGAGGGTGAGAGTCACTAAGCTGAGAGTCAAGGGCTTGAGACACGAGGGTGAGAGTCACTAAGCTGAGAGTCAAGGGCTTGAGACACGAGGGTGAGAGTCACTAAGCTGAGAGTCAAGGGCTTGAGACACGAGGGTGAGAGTCACTAAGCTGAGAGTCAAGGGCTTGAGACACGAGGGTGAGAGTCACTAAGCTGAGAGTCAAGGGCTTGAGACACGAGGGTGAGAGTCACTAAGCTGAGAGTCGAGGGCTTGAGACACGAGGGTGAGAGTCACTAAGCTGAGAGTCAAGGGCTTGAGACACGAGGGTGAGAGTCACTAAGCTGAGAGTCAAGGGATTGAGACACGAGGGTGAGAGTCACTAAGCTGAGAGTCAAGGGATTGAGACACGAGGGTGAGAGTCACTAAGCTGAGAGTCAAGGGCTTGAGACACGAGGGTGAGAGTCACTAAGCTGAGAGTCAAGGGCTTGAGACACGAGGGTGAGAGTCACTAAGCTGAGAGTCAAGGGCTTGAGACACGAGGGTGAGAGTCACTAAGCTGAGAGTCAAGGGCTTGAGACACGAGGGTGAGAGTCACTAAGCTGAGAGTCAAGGGCTTGAGACACGAGGGTGAGAGTCACTAAGCTGAGAGTCAAGGGATTGAGACACGAGGGTGAGAGTCACTAAGCTGAGAGTCAAGGGATTGAGACACGAGGGTGAGAGTCACTAAGCTGAGAGTCAAGGGCTTGAGACACGAGGGTGAGAGTCACTAAGCTGAGAGTCAAGGGCTTGAGACACGAGGGTGAGAGTCACTAAGCTGAGAGTCAAGGGCTTGAGACACGAGGGTGAGAGTCACTAAGCTGAGAGTCAAGGGCTTGAGACACGAGGGTGAGAGTCACTAAGCTGAGAGTCAAGGGCTTGAGACACGAGGGTGAGAGTCACTAAGCTGAGAGTCAAGGGCTTGAGACACGAGGGTGAGAGTCACTAAGCTGAGAGTCAAGGGCTTGAGACACGAGGGTGAGAGTCACTAAGCTGAGAGTCAAGGGCTTGAGACACGAGGGTGAGAGTCACTAAGCTGAGAGTCGAGGGCTTGAGACACGAGGGTGAGAGTCACTAAGCTGAGAGTCAAGGGCTTGAGACACGAGGGTGAGAGTCACTAAGCTGAGAGTCAAGGGATTGAGACACGAGGGTGAGAGTCACTAAGCTGAGAGTCAAGGGATTGAGACACGAGGGTGAGAGTCACTAAGCTGAGAGTCAAGGGCTTGAGACACGAGGGTGAGAGTCACTAAGCTGAGAGTCAAGGGCTTGAGACACGAGGGTGAGAGTCACTAAGCTGAGAGTCAAGGGCTTGAGACACGAGGGTGAGAGTCACTAAGCTGAGAGTCAAGGGCTTGAGACACGAGGGTGAGAGTCACTAAGCTGAGAGTCAAGGGCTTGAGACACGAGGGTGAGAGTCACTAAGCTGAGAGTCAAGGGCTTGAGACACGAGGGTGAGAGTCACTAAGCTGAGAGTCAAGGGCTTGAGACACGAGGGTGAGAGTCACTAAGCTGAGAGTCAAGGGCTTGAGACACGAGGGTGAGAGTCACTAAGCTGAGAGTCAAGGGCTTGAGACACGAGGGTGAGAGTCACTAAGCTGAGAGTCAAGGGCTTGAGACACGAGGGTGAGAGTCACTAAGCTGAGAGTCAAGGGCTTGAGACACGAGGGTGAGAGTCACTAAGCTGAGAGTCAAGGGCTTGAGACACGAGGGTGAGAGTCACTAAGCTGAGAGTCAAGGGATTGAGACACGAGGGTGAGAGTCACTAAGCTGAGAGTCAAGGGATTGAGACACGAGGGTGAGAGTCACTAAGCTGAGAGTCAAGGGCTTGAGACACGAGGGTGAGAGTCACTAAGCTGAGAGTCAAGGGCTTGAGACACGAGGGTGAGAGTCACTAAGCTGAGAGTCAAGGGCTTGAGACACGAGGGTGAGAGTCACTAAGCTGAGAGTCAAGGGATTGAGACACGAGGGTGAGAGTCACTAAGCTGAGAGTCAAGGGCTTGAGACACGAGGGTGAGAGTCACTAAGCTGAGAGTCAAGGGCTTGAGACACGAGGGTGAGAGTCACTAAGCTGAGAGTCAAGGGCTTGAGACACGAGGGTGAGAGTCACTAAGCTGAGAGTCAAGGGCTTGAGACACGAGGGTGAGAGTCACTAAGCTGAGAGTCAAGGGCTTGAGACACGAGGGTGAGAGTCACTAAGCTGAGAGTCAAGGGCTTGAGACACGAGGGTGAGAGTCACTAAGCTGAGAGTCAAGGGCTTGAGACACGAGGGTGAGAGTCACTAAGCTGAGAGTCAAGGGCTTGAGACACGAGGGTGAGAGTCACTAAGCTGAGAGTCAAGGGCT